GGATTCATCTGATTTCTAACCTGTTCTCTTGGGAACATATCATAAGTTGAATTTTTTTTCTTTCCTGCTCAGACCAATGTTCCACAGGGAAATCAGGTGCTCAACAGTTGGAATAACAATCATAAATGTACATAATGATCAGTGATATGGGTTGTAAATAAGTCCCCTGAACTGCCCCTCAGAGGATATAAAAAATTAGGCTGTATGTGGCAGGGTGGTTAATTTTGAAGTCCTGAGGCTAGACAGAAGGACTTCTTTCTGCTGTTTTGTCTGGTGCAGAGCCTCTATTTCTCGGATAAACTTTCCAGGAAGAAATCCAGACTTTTAGACATGTAACTTCTCGGACTCATCATCCAGGTGAACCTGAGGTCTTAACAGGTATGGCAGGAAATCATCAAGAAAGGAAGCTGACAAAATTTTGCTGAGGTCCCCTGAGAAACAAGACAGGCTGACCCAGACCTGATAGATCTCTATGTTTGTTTGATTGCCTTGATTAATTTATAATTTATTTAATACATTAGAAAGAGAAGTTTCTCTTAGACTCTGCAATGTATTGATCATTACTGACTGTTATGAGATGGAAATGAAGTCCAATTGAATGAGACTAAACGAAGTATTATTATAGAGTATTTTCTATAAAATTAGAACATATCCAATAAATTTTTAAAGAAGAGAGTAGGAAAATTAAGTATTACATGTGAAGGGATGTGAAGTGAAATTAAATGGAGGCATTTTCTTTAATTTTGAACAATGAACAAACAAGCTTCGTCCTGAGTTTATTAGAGAATCAGACTAATGGATTGTTTTTTTTTACAAATACAACTTCAAAAAAACAGTTCATGATACATGCATTTCACAGTGTCTTCTAACAAGCTGGATATTCACACGTACAAAACAAATTTAACTTGACAAGTAAAGAGAAAACTAAAGTTCTTTATGTTGAAATTCTTTTATTGTGACTGAGGTAGAATATATGTTTAGATTTGTTAGCCTTTTGTTCCTCTTTGCAATTCAAAATAGCCAAGGTATTTGTGTTTAAGAAGACTGAATGTTTTTACCTGTTGCATTATTTCCTTCAAGGAAAGAATTGGAGGAATTTTTCATTAACTTTGTTGTTTGGGATCCAGTTGTTTATTGTAACTATTGAATTACCTGGGAGTGTTTGGAAAGTTTACAAAATTCAAACTCAGAATTCAGAATCAGATCTATTAGTTAGATCTATAAGTCTATACCTTCTGCTATCTCATTGTATATTTGCTTTTCTTGTTAATTTTGCTTTTTCTGGTTTATTCTAATTTTATAATCAGCAATCACCTGCCATCATGTGAAACATATCTTTTGCATGTAACTAAAGATCACTTGTATCTATATAATGTTCATATTTATATACATAGAAGCTTCATTATACTGATGAAGATTTTCTTTCTGTACAATTGGAATGAGAATTTGATTCACTGTGTTACTGTGAAAAATAAGTGAGATAATGCAGGCATTGTATGTAGCTCAAGTGCTTGGTAAAAATTCATAAAGGGAGCTATTAGAAAACTTTCATTATGGTGACTATTTGACTTTACTGTTTCCATCATGTGCAGTGTCATAAACATGTTTAACACCATTTATTTTATGTAGGATGAAAGTATAAAGGCTGTTTTTTTCCTTTTTAAAGTATCTGTTTGTATTACATAAATTTGTCATTTAAATCTCGAATTACTGACTCATGTTGATAAGATTGATTTATAATTATTTTAAATATTTTCATTGAGGCAATGATTTAAGATTTTTACTGAATTTTATTTCACACAGTTTTTTAAATTTACTTAATAACTTGATCATTCTTTTTATTGCATAAATGCTTAACATCCTAAATTTTTTCTGTCTTCTCTAACATGTTAACACCTATATGAAAACACAAAACTGAACAAAGTAGGGCCAGGGATTTAGCAAAGTAGCACAGGACCTGCCTGGCAAGTGTGAAGTCCCTAGTACAAAATAAAAAACTGAACAAAGCAGGTAAGATCTCTGCTGAATTGGATCTTATATTATAATGGAAAGTAAACTACACTGAAATAAATACATAGATATTATAATGTCCCCGGGGATAAATTCTGCAGTGTACATTGTCTGAATGGATTTAAGATTTTAAACAGAGTTGTAAGTTATAAGGCCCTAAACAGAAGTAACCAAGTGCACGTATGCCAAATTTCAAACAATTCCTTTAAGGTAAAGAATTCATTGTGCTAGAATTTTGTTGAAGATTTCTGCACTTCTGTTCATCAAGAATATTGGCTTATAATTTTCCTTTCTTGTACAGCCCTTTTCTGGTCAAAATTCACTATTTTTTTCCTCATTGAGCTTATTGGTACATTTTAGGTATGCAGTACAGTTACATTCATTATTGGGATCTTGTACCTTTACATGACAGGTCTTGGTTCTCATTTTTTCCCCTTGTCCCTGCCCTCCCTTAATTCCTCCTCCCCTCCCCCTTTACAAATACTTTATTTCCATTTTTTCATTTTCTCATATTTTTTTCTTTTCCCTTATTAGCTTTCCCCTACCCTTCTCACTTTCCCTACACCTTTAGCCCCTTTCTTCCTATTTCACATAGTCTATTATATCATTAGGATCTTATGTACTATTATATTTTACTTTATTCACACCAGAGAAACTATTCAGTGTTTACACATGTGTGACTTATTTCACTTATGAGTATATCCTCAATATGCATCCATTTTCCTATGAATGAATCTAATTTCTCATTCTTTATGGATGAGTAATATTCCACTTTTTAATACAGATATCTAAAGGCAAACAGATGGATATAAGAAGGGATTTACTTTGATATTTAGTATGCCTTTAAAGTTAAAACAATGCATAATTCCACTTATACGCTCAAAATAGATGCAGAGAAGAAAATGGTGGTGTTGAGGGAGTGGAGGAGAAGGAAATATCATTTATTTTAATAGTTCTTAAATTAGAGATTTTTAGCCAGGTGTAGTAGTACATGCCTATCATCCCAGAACCAGTGAGGCTGAGACAGGAGGATGGCCAACAGTTTCAGGCCAGTTGGAGTTCCATAGTGTGTTCAAGCTCATCTTGAATTATATATGAGGATTTGTCTCAAAATAAATAATAAAGTAATTAACATTGTTTAAGACAATTAATTTCCAGATACTGTACAACATAGTGCTTAGCACTAACAATATGATATTGTGCATGCTAAAAGTTACTATGAAGGGCCCAGAGATGTAGCTCAATGGTGCTGCCGCCTATCTCAAAAGCACAAGGTCCTGAGTTGGATCCCCAGTACCCCCCCCAAAAAAAAGTTACTATGAGGATAGAACTCATGCTATGATGTCTTATTACAAATAAAGAGGTAAAGTCACACATAGACATTCTGGGCAGTAATGCATGTGTCTACAATATTGATTTTGATGAATGGACTTGCAGGAGTCTGAATTTATTCAACTGTCTCCGTGATACATGCACAGCTTTTATATAGACCTCATAAAGCTCATAGATGTTACAATGATCCCAGGGATAAATTCTATGAAGTGTACATTGTCAGAGTGGATGCAAAGTGTTAAACAGAGTTGTAAGTTATACATCCTGAATGAAGAAAACTAAGTGCAGATATTCCAAATTCCAAACAAGCCTTCTAATGTGATGAATTCATTTTGCCTCATAATGCTATTTAAAACAAAACTGCAATGTACAACATGGGAACAAGGACTCTTGTGCCAGTTAGTCTTAGTTGTTGACAACTGAATTAAGACACTCCTGTAGATGTGATTGGATCATCAAGATGCTATACTCATAAGTGGATTAATCCATTTATGGTGTCATAGCTGGACATGTTGTTAGAAGGTGAGGACTGGTTGGAATTGGGTCACTGGAGGGCAGACTAGTGGAGGGTTTTTCTCTCATTGGCTCTCTTTCCCCATGCTCTGTTTCTTGCCTTCAGGAGATGAACAGCATTCTTTCCCTATTCTTCTACCACGATGTTTCTACCTTGGAGATAGCTAAACATAAACTTGAAAATGTGACTAAAATTAAATATTACCCTCTTTCAGTTGCAGATGCCAGCTATTTTGTCCAGCAATGGTAAAGCTGATCAATGAACTCTGCAATTTGAAAAGTTGAACATTTCAGCATATTTGAAGATGTTACCTCTTTCCTCATATTTCCAGGCATTATCTTCACTCATCTCCTTCTTTGTTCTGACTGATATACAGGCTTCCTTTTGAACTTTGATATATGAAACAAGAACCTTTCCTAGGGTTTTTATACTGTTCATATCTCCTCACAGACACTTGCTTCTGCAGATAACCTTGTGGCTCCTTCTACCCCACTTCCTTGATATCTCTGTTCAAATGCCAACTTGCATACACATCTTGCCTTAACTCCCATAAAGATAAAAGTTCCATCCGTATTTGTTTTACCCTGCCCATATTTTACTCAAAGCAATTACTATATACAATGATCATTTCATTTTTATTTTGATACATACATAAAATTAGATATATTTATTCTGTGGTATGTGATGTTCATATACTTGTATTAATTATGTAGGGTTAAAATCAGGCTAAACCTGGCTGTCAACTCAAATACTGATCAATTATAAATTATATATGATGAAAAAATTCAAAATAATCTTTTAGGCTATTTAGTAATTTTTACAGCACTGGAGGGAAGGAACTCAAGACCTCATACAGAGCATAGAAGTATTCTATCACCAATGTCATTTAGTTCATTATATTATTTTACATTGTTTAAATTATGGTGACTTTCCCTCTTTAACAGATGGTGGATGGAATTCAGTACATGTTCCTCATGTACCTGAAATAATTCCTCATTGAAACTGTACAATATATGATATATTGAGGAAAAATAGACAGAATGGAAGGAAATACCAATCAGATATACTGCAGTAGATGCCACAAAGAAGAACGGATTTAAAAATTAAACACATATTAAACATGTTTTTTTTCTTTTTACAGCACATGGAGACACAAAATGACACACAAATTTCAGAATTTCTTCTTCAAGGATTTACAGAGGACCTGGAATTACAGTCCTTTGTGTTTGGTCTTTTCCTCTTCATGTATCTGATAACTGTGCTTGGGAACCTGATCATCATTCTGACCACAGTCTCAGACTCTCACCTGCACACACCCATGTACTTCTTCCTCTCCAACCTGTCCTTTGTGGACATCTGTTTCATTTCAACTACCATCCCAAAGATGCTGATGAACATCCAGACACAGAGCAAGATCATAACTTATGAAGGCTGCATCACCCAAATACATTTCTTTTCATTATTTGCAATGTTGGACAACTTACTCCTGACAGTGATGGCCTATGACCGGTTTGTGGCAATCTGTCATCCTCTGCACTACACAGTCATCATGAAGCCCCAGCTTTGTGGATTCCTATTTCTGGTGTCCTGGCTCATGAGTACCCTGAATTCCCTGTTACACAGCCTAATGATTTTGCATCTGTCCTTCTGTGCACACACTGAAATCCCCCACTTCTTCTGTGAACTTAATCAGGTGGTCCACTGTGCCTGTTCTGACACATTTCTTAATGACATCATGATATATGTCACAACTATGCTGCTGGGTGTTGGGCCCCTTACTGCCATCCTTTACTCTTACTCCAAGATAGTTTCCTCCATATGGGCAATCCCATCAGCTCAGGGGAGATATAAAGCATTTTCTACCTGTGCATCTCACCTGTCAGTAGTCTCCCTATTTTATTTTTCAATCCTAGGTGTGTACCTTAGTTCTGCTGTCATCCAAAATGCAAACTCTACAGCAACAGCTTCAGTGCTGTACACTGTTGTCACACCCATGCTAAACCCCTTCATCTACAGTCTGAGGAATAAGGACATAAAAAGTGCTATGAAAAAACTATTTCAGAAAGAAATTAGAAAAGTACCCATTGTCCTGGAATTTAAAAAGTGCTGTTGATCACAAGGCTCAAAACCTCTGAGGTAGAAATTACCATATGTTTCTCAGATTGCCAAATTGAATTGTTTCATTTTCTGATGATACCATAGTTATATGTTTCTTATTGAATTGTGTTTGTTTCTACTTGAAATATGTTAGTTCTGCCTACAAATATGTTCTTAATGAAGGAACTTCCCTTTCTAAATTCTCCCATTACTACTAGAGGAGTAGTAAAAGAGCATTGTAAATATTATTCACTATTTATCTCCTTCATGCTCAGGAATCATTTAGATACTCATATTCAAAGCATGACTCACAAAAAGTTTGAATTCCTGCCCAGTCGTGAGATTTCCAACCACAAACATCTTTGTGGTATTGAAATGCAATCTCTATGAAGTCATTTTTAAATACATTTATATAAATAAAAGTAAATGAAAGAGTAACTGTGGATAGTGTTAAATAGTACAGCACATGCCCAAAAAAGTTGGCAATTATTATAATTCCTTTCAGTTTTATAAACATTTTTTGCAAGGGTGAGATATTTCTGCAAATTAAACATACTTAAAAGCAAATGGTTTCACATAACATCTTTTTATCAATGAGACTGCATAATGAGGACTCTGAACACTGCTACTCCATTATTTAATTTACTGTGAGTCATATGGGTTGATTCTGCTGAACTTGGCTGGGCTGCTTAGAATACTGGGGACTCAGCTGGATGTTGTCTAGTCTGGTCGGGCTTTGGTTGGGACAACTGGCTTCTCATCATCATGTCCCTTTTCTTCCAGGTTGGTGGCCTGGAATGTCATGTGGTGAAGTAGAATTCCAACACAGAGCAGCACAACTGCTCACTAGAGTCCTTTGATACACTGTCAGTCTCATATCAATTTGGCCAGAGCAAATTTAAAAATCCTAAATTCACTGCAACACTTGTGTGATGACTCCTTTCCCATTTATCCTCACCTTTTAAATAAAAGAATGAGGATGAAATAGTTATACTCCTATCTCTGTGGAAAGCTGGAGTGAACAATTTATCTTGCCTTTTCTGGATTCTTGAGTCTGCTCACCTTCTGGGTAACAAGTCTCTTTTCTCTGTCTTCAAAGTCTGTAATACAGCATCTCCTTTCCTACAGGACCTCCTTGCACTTGCTTATAAGAATCCTGTTAAATATATCAAGACCACCATGATAATATGTTATAATACTCCCTCTTAGGATTCTTAACTTAGTCACATCTACAAATTTCCTTTTGGATGAAATGGAGGTGACATAATCACAAGTTGCAGGAATTCAGGCTTAGTCCCTGTGGGGGACTATGTCTATCACAGCAGCTACCAAGCAGCTTTGCCCTCAGAAATCTTTCTCATATATGCACAAACATTCGTGTATTATCAAAATATATCTCTCCCTTTGGGCACTTGCTTGAATGGAATACTCAGCAAACATTTTCTGTGAAAATACTGATGGTGACTACCTGGGCTTTATTAGCCAGATGCTCTCTTTCAAAGACTGAACTCTGCTATAGTAAGTATAAATGCAGTCACTGAAGACACACAAATGAGTAGGTATGATGGCCAATAGAACTTTATTTATAGATTTCAAAATTTCAATTTCATGCAAATTATAAACACAATGAGATTTCACTCCTCTTAAAATGAATACAGGAAGGCAAATGCAGCTTGCATCTGGAAAGGCTGACCTCATGGGAGCTAAGTATAGATTAGATGTTTCCAGAGACCACAGAAGAGACAAGGGAGGAATAAAATAGAGAGGAAGATCAATGAGGACAATGTTATATAGGAGGAATACATGCTCATGTTCAATCTCACAATAGGGGAATAGTGTATAAAATATACACATGATGGATAAGCCAACTGTCCTGAATAAATCATTACATGTTGTACACATTTATCAGTATCTAACAGCACACATAAATATATATATACATAAAATTATTGTCAATCATAACTATAATTTTCAAAATAATGTAAATATTTTAATTGCATTTAGTGGTACATTTTAGGTATACAGTAAGATTTTCACACCAGAGTAATGTAAATATTTTTAAAGGAAAATTAAAAAGTTGATGAGAATGAGAATTTGAAATCTCATATGTTAGTATGGGGAGTGTAAAATGGATCATCCCCTACAGAAAACAGTTTGGCAGTTCCTCAGAAAGTTAAAATAGAATTATCATGCAACCCAGAAACTTCACTTCATGCCTGTGTACCCCAAAACCCAAGACAGGTTTCAAATACATGCTTGTATACCAATATGTGTAGCAGTATTGTTCATAGTAGAAAGGAAAAAAGATGGGGAAGAGGGTGTTTATTAGCAGAAAAATACATACACAAAATGTTGCATATTTGAAATTGCATGATATTCATCCAGGAAAAGACAGATGTCTTAATACAAGCTACCCAAGGATGAACTTTGATAACACTATGCTAAATAAAAAGCAAGATACAGGAACCTGAAAATGTGATCTCAGAATATGAAACACGGGACTGATTAATATATTCTGAAATCTGATATATGAATAATAAATATTTTAATAATTGAGATTCTTCTATAAATACTATATAATTCTAATCATATAAACCAAAGAAATCCTTCAATTTTTAATCATGGCAGAGTAATTAAGAACAATAAACTTAGCACAGGAGCACAACCTTCATCCAGAATTCTGCCATACCATTGGTAAATATTCACACATATAGGAGAGCAGCTGTGAGAACCAGATTGGCCCAGCTGCAGACAGGTCCCAGCTAGGGCCCTTCTCTGACTCCAGAAGTGTAGGCACACATACCCAAGCTACAGCCCACCTAGAAAAGAGCAGCACTGGCATGCAAGTTTCATCCAGAGTCCTGTCATACTATCGGCCACAGTCAAGGGCCCACCTGGAAAAGAACTACACAGATGCATAAGCAACCACCAGAGGATAACCCTGAAACCATTGATAAGTGCCTGAAGACCCTAACAAGAATTCTACAGAGACAACAGGAACTGCAATACATAGCTTCCAGCCAAAGGCCACCCCAGACAAGAGTTACATAAGGGTCCCAGTGAGAGGCACACCTAGATACCATCCCAAGTGTGCACAGGCCCCAGCCAAAAGCATGCCCAGTCAACAGGTCAGCTCAAGAAGGCCACCATTCTAAACCCAGGAATTGTTGTACTAGGTAGCAGCACAGTAAAGGCTATTCAGTGGCCTGCTGAGAATTGAAGACCACTGGGTGAGCAAAAATTTCCCTCAACAAAGGCACAGAAGGCTGCAACTGTTGAAATGAGAAGACACAAAAATAAGTCTCAAAAAAAGACTTCCAGATCACCAAAGAAAACCCCGAAGGGCAGCAGCATGTAAAAACTGATACTCAACCATGTGGACTCCCTGAACTATCAATGGAACAGGACCTGGAAAAAAATGAAATCATAAATAGTTTCTCAGGTAACAGCAGAGATTGGGCCCATAGTACAAAACATGATTGACAAATCTACAGCTGATTCAGATTTAAAAAATAAATGAGCTGAGAAACATGAAGAAATCCCAACATAGGAAACAAATGGAATCCATAAAACAAGTGCAAACATATTTCCAAGAGATTGAAAACTCCATTGAAAGTTTACACAGCATAACAAGCAAATGTGAGGACAGAATTGCAGATATAGAAGATAGAAATGCCTTAGTGAACAAGAAAAGTAAAATCTCTTAAAAATAGTAAGGGACTATGATAGATCAATCTAGCAGCTGCAAGATGACTCAAAGAAGAATAACATAACACTGATTTGAATCATTGAAGAAACAGAAGAAGCTGCTCTGCCACCAGCCCCAGTGAGGAAGGCTGCCCTGAGATCTCTCCCACCACCTGCTTGGGCCCATCCAGTGGATCTGCACTGTCCCCTGCTTGCTCTGCTATCAGCCCCCGAGAGGAAGGTAGCTGTGAGGGTGCACTTGAAACAGCCCCATGACACACCACCCCCACTCTCAGACCTTCTAAATGGGCCAGTCCATGGACCCACTCTGCAGAGGCATAGGTGGTCATAAAAAGTATTTTCTGAGCTCCAAACTTTGAACATCTTTAAAGAAAGGGTGGGAAAAGCCTGTAATAGAACTGTGTGGAGTTCAGCTGTGCAGGTCAGGGAACTCAACTTAGGCCTTGCAGCCTGAGGTCAGTCTGATTCATGGGGATCTGCCATTGGCTAGCTGAGATTAGGTGACTTGGTTCTGCACATGGTTGTGCACATGTTATATTATGACTGCAGAGACATAGTCTGAAAGAGGCCCTTCAAATTCTTTTTTTTCCTTCCTTTTCCTGATTCCATCCTGCAATTTCTTTCTTTTTTCTGTCCTCTTTCTCTAACTCAGTCTCTTGCTCCACCATATTATCCCTCATCTTCCTTTCTATTCCTGCTCCTACCCTAACTCAGGCTTCTTCTTTTGTCACTTTCTTTTTTCTTTATGTTCTTTTCTTCTGTCATTTTACCTCATTCATGGTTCAGTAGTTTCAAGGGAAAGTGAGCCCCCATTACTGTTAAGGGGATATATTCTTGTCCTTACTCTTGCACTCCATCTATCCCTTTCAAAGTCAATAGTTTCTCAAAGATTGTATGGTCATTCTATGTCCTCTGGATTCACTTGAAACCTCCTCTAATATTTTCTCTTAACTACTCCTCTTTTCCTAACTCTATCTAAGCCCCCATCCTAAATGGTAAAGATGTTATATTGAAAATATTTTGTGCTGCTTCTTGATTTTAATTTAATTTATATGGTTTAAAGGTGATAGATTAATAACTACCAGAAGTAGTCAAATTGCAAGTTGTGCTTGATCCTATTGTGCAGCTGAATGTATCAATTGGGATAACGGATTGTGATTGAGTAATGAGTTGTTTTCCCTGATATTATGAAAATGAGAATGTCTATGAGCTATTAGAGACTCAAAAGCTAAAGCAAAACTATATCAGAAAGATTTAAGTAATAACCCAGACATTAAACCAAGGACAACCCAACAACAAAAATAAAAG